GGTATAAAAGCCTTCGATTGTTTGGCCAACAGTGGAATGGATTCTAAATGGGAATGAACTCGAGAGAAGATTTCTCGTTTGATTTTAGGAAAACATAGCTCGGGTTTTGGAAACGGAGACGTGATGCACCTCGGTTAGCCCTTAAGGACTGACGCTAAATGCTCTCGTAATATCAGGTTCTGAACGGAGACGTCGGACCTGTGGGTAGACTCTAACTACACTGGAGACGGGGGTTAGGGTACTTTAGTGTCTGGGTTAGCGAACATAGAATTGACATTAGATTCGGATTTGTAGATCTTTATCGATAGTACACTGGTGGATTTTACCCTAGAAGCCATCACACGTCGGAATTCCTCGATTATACTGGCGGACCGTTGTTTTTATTTTTGTTTCCTTTTTGCTTCATTTCATCCCCCATTATTTCCTTCGTCTAGATAGAGTTTAGGATAGTATAATTACGGTACTTGGTAGATTTAGGAACTTAATTCCCTGTGGATCGATATCTGGAATTCACTATTCTACAAAACGCGATACTGTACACTTGCGGTTATTTATACGTAGGTTTTACGCGTATCAATAAAAGAGAGGTGTGATCGTAACTCCTTATTTATAAGTGTGAATACTTGGAGGGCAAGAAATAACCAAACTTGCCATAACTCTTTTTCTTGAGGCTACTAAGACTTTGGGCCGAGTATATAGGTCCTAGCTCGGTTCAGTCACCGAGTCCAGTGATGATGTGCTCGGCTCCAATAAGGACAACTTGGATTGATCATGGGCCCGATAAAGGTGACAACTCGATCCATAATCCAATAAAGAGTTAGAAAGCGCATAAGAGCGATTTAGTCCATATCGGCGAAAGATTAGGAGGATTTCCTTAGTAATGAAAATAAGGATGGATCTATCTCTACTGAAAAAAGTGAAAAATGAGTTATCTCAAGGAGCAACTTTATTAAATAAGGATAATGCTTTTATTTAATACACAAAAGATGAAAGCTTGTTCCAATATTATTACAATAGATAGAGAGCTAAAATTATATGAAATAACGACATGAGACTATCGTCCACGCAATCAGAGCTCCACATTACGATGTTCTTTTGTAACTGCAAATCCTGTCCCAACCCACGCAATGTATCCCCCTCCCATGTTGTACACATGCTTGAACTCCTGCAATATAATTCCAAAACCATTAATTAATTAATTAATTAATATATAAATATCAATAAAATAGTGGAAAATTTAGATAGCTTTTAAAAGTAAAAAACATATTTAAAAAAAAAACTTACAGAGTGAATAAGATCAATAGTTGCATACACAGACCTAACCCCACTTTGGCAACCCTGAAATTTGAACATTTATTTTCATATGAAAAATGATGGATATATATATATATATATATCAATAGTTGTATACTCAATTATGTTATGTTGAATTACTTACCACAAGAATATGATCTTCCTTTGCACATAACGCAAGAACCTGATCAATAAATTTGGGATTCTTCACCCTGCCTGAATTAATCACCCGGAATTTGTGACCCATATTTAAAATTTAATTACTAAATCAAATAATTATCTCATATATATGGAAGAAAATTAATTGGCAATATATAAAAATGAACCCACGCACCTTTTGGAGTATTAAACATGTATGCGATGTTCAAGGCATTTTCCACGTGACCATTCTTGAATTCTTCTTCAGTCCTATTTTATTGAGGTTTCAAATACAATATGCCAAAAAAAGATATATATATAATACTCGATAAATTAATAATCTCGTTTAAGTAATAGTTTCTTCTGGTCCCGACTCGGTAAAAATCTACTAATTATTAGTTCGATAATTTAAATTACTAAATTACAAGAATTTTGCTAATCCCGACTATATTAATTTGTAGAGTTACACAGTGAAATAAGTTTGTACCTTACATCAAGATAGCGATGGCCTAGATTTAGTAGATCTTTAGCTGTTTGAACATCGACGGTGATCACTTCTTCTGCCCCAGAACTACCATAGGAGAAGAACAAATTCTTAACAATATATATACATATATATACACACACATATAGAGTGTGTGTGTCTGTGTAATACATATATACATATATGTATCTAGTTTAATATATGAATTTACCTTTTCTTGACCGACTCCATGTTCTTTGGGAGAGTGGGAAATTCTTGAAGCAATGGACAATTTGAGTGTGTGTGTGTGTGTGGATATATGTTCTCTTGGGGGTGTTCTATATAATATATATATAATGTTGGTGACCAATGAATTTGGAACTGCAGGAGTAATTAATTAATTACATATATATATAATAGGAGGATGGATGACTGTGCATCCCTTGGAAATTAGTGAGAGACAGTTAGGATGACATATTAGGATACTTAATCCCAAAATTATAGTATTATATTTAAGTTAATTGCAACTCTATCGTGAATATTGGATGTGACACCATGATTATTCAAAACATTAACCACTAATAGTTACAAAGCTAAATGCTCCACCAACTACTTCCAATGCTCCATTAACTATTCTAATGCTTCAAAAAAATTTCTTTATTATGGTTCATGACGGAAGCATATATTTTTTTAATATATATTCATCCGTCTTATATTATGGGAAAACGAGGGATAACCCCTCATTTGATAAAATAATATAGTTTATGCCCAATTTATTATTAATTCTTTGTAAACAAATACATTTAATATTTTTTGAATTGTGTGATCTCCTGAGCTTATGTTAATGTCTATTGTGCTCTTTTTTGTCCATATTTTTCTCCTGCTTTCTCTCTCTTCTCATTACTTTTCTTTTATTCGTCATTTTATATTCTCCATTCATTTCTTTTTTTTTTCCTTTTTTTCCTCACTTTTGACGTGTTGTTCTTTTATTCTTTTTATTCTCTCTCTTCTCTGCTCTCTCTTCCCCAATTTCCTCTCTTCGCGTATCTTTTTCTTTTATTCATTTTCTGCCTCTCTCCTCTCTCATCTCTCTCTCTCTCTCTCTCTCTCTCTCTCTCTCTCTCTCTCTCTCTCTCTCTCTCTTTTCCCTCATCTCCTCTGTTCTTGTTTGTTTCTATTTCATTTTTTCTCTTTTATTTTTCTCTATTTTTTCTCACTACTTTATCCTTTCTTCTACATCTCATTTTTTTGTTGTTGAAATCAATCTATTTTCTACTCTATAAAAGTCATGTTTTTCACCGGAGATGAGATTTTTATCATGAGTATTCAATTTGATAACACCATAGTATCTTAAATTGAAATATAATATAGTGAATTAATGGAAAAAATATAGTTGACTACCATTTTTTTATAGTTGACATCGGAACAATTATTGTTGACTATCCAATTTTGGTAGTTTACTCTGGCAACAATATAGTTAACTACCATTTTTTTATAGTTGAAATCGTAAAAATTATAGTTAACTATCTAATTTTTATAGTTGACTTTGGAAAAAAATATAGTGAACTATCCGATTTTATAGTTGACTCTGAGTGTAGATGATTGCAATATTTTAGTTTTTCGACAACAATGATCTCTTCTTTGTTGTGGACTCTGATAAAACAAATTTCATAGGAAACAAATATTTATGAGTCAACAAATAGTGCGATCATAGATCTGTAGATCTAAAAAACAAGCTTGTTTACAAACTCCATTTTTGAGTAATCAACCATGGAAGAATTTCGAACCGTCGCATATGGTCGTCGCGTACTGTTACATATCAATGATGTAGGAGACTTCAATTTGTCCTTTCGGAGTCGCTGAGAAGGGTGTTAAAAACAAAAATTATGTGGTAAATATACATAGATTAGGTTAATAGACGTCGAGGGGAGCGATGGGTGTATAGGAAACTACCTGTCTTCTTCTTGCTACTTTTTCACCATTGTTGTCGACGTGTCTTTCTCAACGATTCCCACACAAACATTATTTGGTTTTTTTGCGACTCTCTTGGCACGAATATAACAGACTAGCGGAAATTGGGGAGAGATTATACTGACGAAATTGTTGAATATATGCAGTTTTAGGAAAAATAATTGGGGGGGGGGGGGGTTATTGCTATTAGAAATTATGGGAGTAGTTCAGTAATTGATAATTGTGAGGGGGTTTGACCAATTAAAAATAATACGAGGTGATTGGTCCTAATATTTTTCCTAATAAGGGGTTATATTTTATTAACCCTATATAAACCTATATTATATGATGTTTTTTTTTGTTGCATATATATTACTAGGGACAATATATATAAATAAATTATAGTGAGAAATATAGGAAATTATTAATTTATACTTGTCATTAATTATTTATCAACTAATTAATTAAGAGTGATAAATAGCAAAATTGAAAAAAAAATACAATTTATAAATCCTTCATTGGAAAATAAGTGTTAAATAAATTAGAACAAATAAACTCTCTTAAAAGACATATATCATGGGACATATGGGGGAGGAATATATATATATATAT